AGCAGCAGTATAACTACTACTACAACTACTACTACAACTACTGCTAGGTTACTAAATACTACTACTACTACTACTACTACTACTACTACTACTACTAGCTTACTAAATACTACTACTACTACCACTACTACTACTACCACTACTACTACTACTACTACTACTACTACTACTACTACTACTACTCTAGCTTACTAAATACTACTACTACCACTACTACTACTACTACTACTGCTACTACTACTACTAGCTTACTAAATACTACTACTACTACTACTACTACTACTACTACTACGTCTACTAGCTTACTAAATACTACTACTACTACCACTAGTAGTAGTAGTAGTGGTAGAGTAGTAGTAGTAGTAGTAGTAGTAGTAGTAGTAGTAGTAGTAGTGGTAGTATTTAGTAAGCTAGTAGTAGTAGTAGTAGTAGTAGCAGCAGCAGTAGTAGTAGTAGTAGTAGTAGTAGTAGTAGTAGTAGTAGTAGTAGTAGTAGTAAGCTTCTTGTCGTAGTAGTAGTGGTGGTATGTAGCAGTTTGGATAGTGGTATTTGTAGTGGTTGTATGTTAGTGTTTGATATTGTTGTTGTAGTCGTAATTAATGAAGATGCTGTTGTTTTTGTTGTAAATATAGTAGTCCAACTTCACAGAGTTTTTTATCATCCCCTCACTGCGGCAAAAACATGAAGCAGGGCTAGGGCTACTTGTGTGGAAGAAAGTTCTCTAGTTAATATTATATTATAGATCTATTTATGCGCATTAAAGTAATCACAACCCACAAAAAGTTCCAGGTAATCATAGAATCTGAAAGGAATTCATTTTTAATGTATTATCTCTAAAAATGACCCAAATGACTTCAAAGATACTTTCTGTTCACGATTATAGCAAACGCCAGACGTATCTTCACCCCTATTAGATCTAGATCTAGTATTATATATCTAGATTTATAACACTTCTTGTGAGTTTAAGAAAAGAAAAAAAAACACGTAGAAAACAGGGGAGCATTTCGTCCAACCTACCCTTCGGAGGCACCCAGCGAAACTTTTTCACGAGGAATCCTGACAGGGTTCGTTGCACTGTGCCTTGTGTGTTGTATTCAGGAACAAAGACCGCGTAAGGGAACACAGGTCCCGACTTAACACACCGATAAACACAGGATGGAAAAATAGTTACTCCAAGGAGAAGAATGTAAGCACAACTTGATTCTTGACCTAGATCTAGATCTAGATTAGATTCTAGATATCTAGATCTAGATCTAGATGTAGGTCTAGAATCTAGACTTATTAAATCTAAAAAATCTAGATTTTTTAAGTTTCAGAATCGACGAAAATACAAATTAACGTTCTTGAAATCAGCAACCGGCCCACACGCTCAGTGAATAGCATAGTCTAACAAACCTACACAATAGGTCCTCTACACACCCTCACACACACACATTATTCGCTTGCGTCGCTAAGCAGAACAAATTATATCCTGAACTAGGCTTGGCTAAGGCTACGACGAGCTGGCTAGTGAAAACGGTGAGTCAGGAGAATTCCCTTGGCCTAGGCCTAAGAGGAAAAGGAAACTGAAAGTGAGAGTGAAAACAGGTGGAAGGCGTAGTTTGCGGAGCAGCCTTTCAACAAAGGCCCGTTCGGACATACATTCACACTACAAAAATGTTCCTGATTTATATATAAGTAGTCCACA